AATCTCCCTTGCTGCCCCCTTCACCTCCAATCCCTTCAGGTTCCCATCCTTCACCAATTTCTGCAGCATCGGAATGTTGATGTGGCACAGCCTCTCGTGCCACGTCTCCCAATCGGCCTCACCACTCCCGGATGAAGCCTTTGCCCATGCAGCCGTTGCATCCACACCAGCAAGCACCTCACCATGTGGCTGCTGGGGCTGCTGCACCTTCTTGACTGCATCCAGGGCCCCAGCAGTTGGTGCAGTCTCCTCTCCTCCCGCAGTTGCTTTAGCCGCTGCTGCTGCCGTTGCCTTTGCTGGTGGTTTCCCATTCCAAGGGATGATGGGCAGCTGCCACAGGTCCTTGATGCAGCTGCTCTTCTCGTCCAAGTCCCACAACAGCAACTTCCCAAGCTTCGGACGGCAGCTCGTTGGGCCGAACGTTACTTTGGCCTTGCTTTTCTGCAGCCGGCGCACAGAGAGGAGGTTAGCGGATAAACCATCCACCAATAGAACATTCCCAAGTCCAACAAGTCCCCCATTGGCTCCCATCACCTTGGCATTCCCAACACCAATCACAGGGAGCAAAGCACCTGACGCGGCAGCCACAAACTTGATCTTCCCAGGGGGTTTCACCTCATCGAGCAAATCTGCCCGCGGAGTCATGTGACTCGTGCAACCAGAATCGATCACCCAGTGAGTTAGGGGGTGCATTACAACCTTCCCAACCGAACCCACATCATCCTCACTCCCTTTCACTTCCTCAACCATGAGGAACAGCCCAGGGTCAGCTTTACCTTGTGCACCATCACCTTGTGCACCTGAACCTTGCACAGCACCACCTCGTGCGCGTTCACCACTTGGCGGCTTCATGCTTGGAGGCGCCCATCCTTCAGGCCGGCTGAAACACTTGAACCATGGGTGTCCAGCCTTCTTGCAGTACCAGCACGCACCCTCCATTCGGGTACTCCCCCTGCCACCAGAGCTCCCATGCCCCTCATTGTAGTCACCTTGGCCTCTCCCTCTGCCAAAGCCTCTCCCACGGCCTCGGCCTCTCCCTCCCCCTCTCTCTCTGCTGCCTCCTGCAGCTCCATACCCCTCAGCAGTTTTGTTGGCAGCACCACCTCCAGTGTGGCGCCTGCGGAAGTCCTCCTGCAGGATCTGCTGCCGTAGCCACTCAGGCGTCCATTTGTCCTGCTGAACGTTGAGGGTGGGGATGAGGTTGTCCCACGAGTTGTCGAGCACCGAGATGATCTTGGTGCACTGTTGCATCTGCGACACTTCGCTGCCCGCCGCTGCCATCCTCGCATAGGTGTCCTTGATCTTGTCAAGGACCGGCTTCACATCATCTCCCGGCCGCATGGAGAGGGCAGCCAACTCCTTCTCCAATACGATCACCATCGGCAGCGTGTTGGGTTGAACCACGTCGCGTAGCAGCTTCCACGCCTTCGGTCCGGAGTCGTCCAACTCCACTAGGTCCTTGATATGCTGGAACATATCATTGTTGACGGATTGAAGGATTAGGTCGTACAGCACCGCGCTCCTCTCAATCCATTTGTCGCGGGCATCACCTTCCTCCGGCATCTTCTCTTCTCCCATCGCAAATTTTAGCAGCTTGTAGCGCTTGAAAGCGCTCCGCATCCGCCCGCTCCATTCCTCATAGTTGGATCCGTTCAAAGCCTCGATCTTGGACGGTGGCGGTTCACTCTTCTTCTCAGCTCCTTCTCCACTCATCTCCTCTGCTCCCAATCAGAGGTTTCAGCTCCCCCTTTGCTGTCCACACCGAAGTCTCACACAATTTTCCACAAGTGTCGGCGCCAACGAAATTTCGGCAGAGTTTCCCCTTAGCGGAAGTCACATCCAACCTCCAGAACTCCACTTAGGCACGCCCACAGGCCATGGTGGGTCTAGGAGGGTCTTCACACTTCAGTAGACTCTCCACAAAGTTCTTAATCAGCTCTGATACCACTTGTTAGAGACTAAGGACGGAGTCTATAAAGATTAGGTGCCGAAATAACACAAAAATCGTGGGTCTCAATTTCTCGACAGAAACCGCGACTTCACAAGAAACGTCGTCGGCTGAAATTGCACCGTTGGAATTGTCTACTCAAGTATGTTGTAGCCTGTAACCAGGGCTATCTTTCCCAATTTGAATCGTATCAAATGGTGGAGTAAATCTCAAGTTATGATTTTTCGACGCACTAGGGGGTATGCTGCCACATGCTTAACTCAATCACAATGGTTCTCACAAGTTCCACAAAGTTACACACAAGAGAGTTAGAGTAGCACTAAACCAGGTAGGAGGGAAGAGGAGGACGAGAGGGAAGGTCCCAAGAGATTACCCAACCAAGGAAACCCCATGCCACACAATTCCCTTCCCCATAGGCAACCCCAATTTCACATTTGTCACTTTCCCAACTCATGCCATCCACCTCAACCCACTTGGCCACACTTGCCAACCTGGTTTGGCTTCACCCAACCACATGGCGGCATTCTACAGTGATGGGTTCGAATTCCCAACCCCCAAAAGTCTGTACCCCATATTGAGTCAACCCCACAACTTCCCATAGTCGCCACACTCGAAGTACAGAAAGCATACGAACCCCAACGTTCGTAACTTTCTTGATATTGCTCCGATCGCGACGATTCTTGGCTCGTCGGAAAGATCTTGAGTAGAGCTGTCACTTCAGATATCTGCCCAAGCTAAATATCATCCACACACACTCAGGAAATCCAAACCGTGCAAAACACAAATTCTTGCACACGCTCACACCACACTTGCAACACACGAACACTTGATGGAGGCAGACAGACGTGAATGCATATGGTTGCATCACAACACCGGTTGCCTTGTGAAGGGGGCATATAAGCTGTCACGAGGCATTTCGCTAAGTTTCGTCAATTCACAGCTAGCTAAAAAGGATTCGCATGTGCTTATATACAAGATCTGTTACCATATTTGACTTCAGTCTATTCTGCTTGACTTCGGTCTGTTTGTTACTATTGGTTGATAACCACGCGACGCGCTTGTAATGTAGGTGCATGAGGCTGGGGAAACAACCTCGGGTGCAGCGTATCCATCCGGCGCAAGGCAAATTCGCGTGCATGGGGTGAGCATCAGGTGTAGTTCATGAGAATTAACTAACGTACATGAGTCGTCATGAGAATTCATGACCCGTCATGATCCGTCGTGACCTGTCATGAGCTCACAACAATAACACATGAAACGGAATGCAAACTCAAAAGTGCAGAGAACACACACAAAATGCAGGACTTCATGCAGGCGGCGGGTTGACGTGCAAAAATATTATTTGTACCCAACCATAGGGCCCCACCTTTTTATTCCAGGGCTAAGAGGACTTACGTATTGCATTCGAGGCCTTCTGGTGTGGGGTACGTGAGCTGTTCGGAAACCTCGGCCGGTAGTGGTACCCATCATGGCTACCGCCGCTTAGCTGAAACTTTTAGGCATTAGCTTGAGCATTTCCCTGTAGGTCGTTTTCCGCGTCCTGAAGCCCAGAATCTGTTTCTCTCACCAGACCCGCTTTTCCCGCAACTTCGTATATTGAAGCCGGTAGAACCCCCGAAAATCGAGGGTCCAAACGCTGCGTGAAACCGTTGTCCCGTTGGTGTACTTCCCTGTCTGCGGCGCAACTTCCTTTGATAACGGGGAACCTGTGTCTCCTGAAGTACAATGTCGGCTGCTCCTGTTGCTCCAAATTTTTTGCCGACTTCATTGTAGGCACAGATGTGACCCTAACGTGAACAGTCTAGTCGTAGGCGGCTTTTTCCAAACTTTTCGTTGGTCTGAAAACAACTTCCGTCCCACACTGTACCGCGCTTGCCGAAAAATCCCACGACGCACCCTCCTGCAAAGATGTCAGAACATTATAGCTTATGCATTTGTGTAGGCTGTAGTGGGGTAGCCCATAAGGGGTACAACCCAATTAGGGTTAGTACTTGTACCCAACTCTTTCATAGATGATTCATTCTCGTTTCAGTTTCCTCATGGTATCGAGCAGGCTCCCTCGTGGGAACTGTTCCTAGGGCCCACCAATTCGATTTTATTTTTCCTACCCAGAGCGAGCTCAGCCCTTGCCCGAGTCGCGCTCCCCCTTTCTTGACCCTGTCGCGCCGCCCTAGCGGCTGTGTTGCGCCGCCCTTGCGGCCTTGATCCGCTGCCCTAGCGACCCGTCGCCTACCCCTGCGGCCCCGGCGCTGCCCTTGACGGCCCCGATCCGCCGCCCTAGCGGCCCCGTCGCCTACCCCGCGGCCCTCGCGCCGCCCTTCCCGGCCCCGCTTCGCCGCCCTGCGGCCCCGTCGCCTACCCCGCGGCCCTGGCGCCGCCCTTCCTGGCCCCGATCCGCGGCTCTGCGACCCCGTCGCCTACCCCGCGGCCCTCGCGCCGCCCTTCCCGGCCCCGATTTGCCGCCCTTCGGCTCCGTCGCCTACCCCGCAGCCCTAACGCCGCCCTTCTCGGCCCCGATCTGCCGCCCTGCGGCCCCGTCGCCTACCCTGCGGCCCTGACGCCGCCCTTACCGGCCCGGCCCCACACTTGTTGGCCCCGTCGCCTACCTGTGCGGCCCCGGCGCTGCCTCTGCAGGCCCCGCCGCCGTCCCCACGCGGCCCCGCCGTCACCACCGAGGCGCCGGCGTCGTCGCCTACTGCCGAGCTGCCCGCCACCCGAGCCGCTGCACCACGACGAGCCGCCCGAGCTACCGAGTCGCCAGAGCCCGCCGAGCCGGCGAGCCGCCCAGCAGCCGAGCCGCCGAGCCGCCGAGCCGCCCTGCAGCCGAGCCGCCGAGCCGCCCATAAGCCGAGCAGCCAAGCCGCCCTCCAGCCGAGCTGCCGAGCCGCTGAGCCGCCGAGCCGCCCTGCAGCCAGCCGCCGAGCAGCCGAGCCGCCGAGTCGCCCTGCAGCCGAGCCGCCTGCACCGCCGAACCGCCCTGTACGGTAAGAGCAGCGCCTCTGTCACTACACTGCCCTTACCCTACTGTTCGCGCTGCTAGTCTACTGCTGTCATGGCTACCCCCAGTGCCCTCGCTTTTGACGCTGAGGGCAGGGCCATTGACTTTGACGTCTGGATAGATGGCATGCAGCTTTTCTTACAGTGCGATAGGGCAGACGGCCTCTCCCTCTTTGACCTCACTTCTGGTGCCTCTCCTGCCCCCGCTGCTGATGCTGACGCCACTTTTCGCTCACAGTGGGCCACACGCGATGCTGCCGCACGTCTTGCTGTGCGTCGCCACCTGCCTACCTCTGAGCATGCGCACTTTAGCCAGTACAAGAGTGCTCAGACATTGTACGACGCTGTAGTTGCACGCTACTCCTCCCCTGCCACTGCTGCACTGAGCCGCCTCGTGCTACCGTACCTCTTCCCTGACCTTGATGCCTTTCCCACAGTCACTGACCTCATTACGCACCTCCGCACTAGTGACACTCCTGCTGACTTCTGCGCCAAGAACCCCCCCCATGTATATCACCCTCTACTACAGGGTCGCCCGTCTCCCTGACTCCCTTCGCGTAGTCAGGGACCACTTTCTCTCTGTTTGCCCCACCACTCTCACCGTTGACCTCCTCGAGAAGGCCCTCCTAGCAGCAGAGAAGAGCATTGTTGCTGTAGGAGCCTCTCGTGGTGACCCCCGCACCCCTGTCTTTGAGGGGAGTTCTCCCTCCCCCCTCTTGCCCTCTGCTGCTTCTGCTGCTGCGGTCGACCTCGTTGGTTTCGAGTCGGTCGGCGCTGCGTCTGCCCCTTCGGGGAAGCGCCGCACATGCAAGGGCAAGGGGGGCAAAGGCGCTAGAGGAGCTGGCGGGGGTGGTGGAGGCGGCGGTGGAGGCGGCGAAGGGGGTGGGGGTGGGAGTGGGAGTGGTGGCGGGGGTGGAGGTGCCGGTGGTGGTAGTGGAGGCGGAGGAGGCGGCGGTGGTGGCGGAGGGAGCGGAGGCGGCGGTGGTGGCGGAGGCGGCAGAGGTGGCAGAGGCGGCGGAGGTGGCGGTGGAGCTAATCGCGGCTCTGCGCAGATGAGTGGCTCCCGTGGTGGTCCGCGCCAGCAGCAGCAGCGCGGTCGTGAGACCCTGTCCCCTCAGCAGCTTCGTGAGTGGTACGCTGGGCGTCAGCGGGGTGGGGGTACTGGTCCGTGCACCTACGTCCTACGCATCGGCGACCGCGCGGGTGAGTAGTGCGGGGGTGCGCACTCCACCCAGCGCTGCTTTGGCCGCCTGACGGACGCTTGGCGTCACCAGTTCCCTAAGGCCACTGAGATCCCTCGCTGGGGCGAGCTGTCTAGGGCGGGAGTAGCTATCTTTGACCTTGACTTTGATGCTATTCTTGTTGCCATCTATGCTGTGACTATTAGTGATGAGGGTGACTGTTACCGGTGCTTTCCGCCCGACCCGGGCATTGAGACTGCTGCTCTAGGTACTAGTGAGGCTGCTGCTCTTGGCGCTAGCGAGGCTGCTGCTCTAGGTGCTAGTGCATCTACTTCCTCAGGTGCTGGTGAGTCTGCTCTCTCAGGTACTGCGTCGGCTTCGGCCTCCCTCACCTTCACCCTTGACTTGGGGGCTTCTCGCTCCTTCTTTCGAGACCGCACCACACTCACGCCGCTTAGTCGGCCAGTTGCAGTTTATCTGGCAGACCCCTCTGGGGGTCTTGTCCTTGCTCACTTCTCCACTGTCCTCCCGTGTCCGGCGGCTCCCTCTGGCACCCTGTTTTGTCTTTACCTCCCCTCGTTCTCTACAAACTTGGTGAGTGGTGCTGACCTACAGGATGGGGGAGTTCACAAGTTCACTCATGCGAGCCAGCGGGTGACGCACTGCACTGAGGCTCGGTCGGGCCGACTTTTGGCCACGTTTACACGCCAGCCGGGGTCGAGCCTGTACACACTTACCACTGAGTCTCCTCCAGTCACTGAGTTTGGTCGGGTAGCTGCGTCGGGTCAGGTGTTTGCTGCAGCGTCCAGGTCTGGTCCTGAGTCTGCCCCCTGCTCGTGTCGTCGCCTGTCTCACGAGACTCTCCTTTGGCACCACCACCTTGGTCACCCTTCCCTGGCTCGTCTCCGAGGCATGGCGTCCCGTGTCCTTGTCTCTAGTCTTCCCCGGTCCCTCCCTCCCCTTCCCCCGGGGCGTGCCCCTCCCTGCGTCCCCTGCGTCGAGGGGCGGCAGCGTGCTGCCCCTCACTCCTCCCAGTTTCCTCCGACAGAGGCCCCGCAACAGACGCTTCACATGGATGTGTGGGGCCCAGCCCGCGTCCGTGGACAGGGTCACGAGCGCTACTTCCTACTGGTGGTTGACGACTACTCTCGTTACACCACAGTCTTCCCCTTGCGCAGCAAGGGTGATGTCACTGAGATGTTGATCGACTGGATCCACGCAGCTCGACTCCAGGTCAGGCAGAGCTTCGGCTCGGACTTTCCTGTTCTGCGTCTGCATTCTGACAGAGGCAGAGAGTTCTCCTCTTGCCTTCTGCGAGCCTACTATCGTGCACGAGGCATCCGCCAGACCTTCACACTTCCGGACTCTCCACAGCAAAATGGGCGCGGCATTGGCATGGTCATGATTTGCTCGTACGTCCATGATGCATGCAGCTGCCCCCCATTTTCTGTGGCCGTTTGCGGTTCGGTACGCGGCGCATCAGATCAACCTTCAGCCTAGGGTCTCCATGCCGGAGACCTCCCCAGCCTTACTGTAGACGGGGAAGGTTGGCGATGCGTCTGCGTTCCGTGTCTGGGGATCTCGGGTGTTTGTCCGCGACTTGTCTGCGGACAAGCTGTCCCCTCGTGCTGCTCCTTGCGTCTTCCTGGGTTTCCCCCCTAACGCGCCAAGTTGGCAGTTCTACCACCCCACCTGTCGCCGTGTTCTGTCCTCCAAGGACGTCACGTTTGACGAGACGGTACCCTACTACCGCCTCTTCCCCTACCGCACTCTTCCCTTCCCCCACCACCGCTTTTCCTTGTCCCAGGTCCCCCCCTGGTAGACCCCCTCCCTCCTCAGGGTCCTGCCCCTTCTGGTGTGTCCCAGGTAGATGCAGTCAAGCCTGTCAAGGTTGCTGGTGACTCTGGTGCTGAGCCTGGGGGTGCTGACTCTGGGGATGCTGAGCCTGAGGGTACTGCTACTGGGGGTGCTGAGCCTAAGGGTGCTGCGACTAAGGGTGCTAAGCCTGGGGTTGCTACGCCTGGGGGTGCTGAGCCTGGGGGTGCTGCTAGTGGGGGTGCGGAGCCTGGGGGTGTGGAGCCTGCGGGAGCTGGGCCTGCTTGTCTCGCCTCTGGCGGTGCTGTGCCTGGAGGTTCATCGGGTGCTTCGTCTCGGCGGGAGCCACTCTCTCCACGGGAGTTGCGCGAGTGGTTTGCCCGACGCTGGAGGCGTACTGCTAGAGCTGGAGGTTCTTCGGCTACTGAGGGTGCTGGTGTTGCGGTTCCCGTAGGTGCTCGTACTGGGAGTACTGGAAGTGCTGGGCCTGCGGGTACGACTGGAGTAGGAGCTACTGAGGGTGTTGGCGCTGCTGGAGGTCGTGGAGCTACTGGAGCTGCTGCTGGTCCTGGTGGTGGAGGTGCTGCTGGAGCTGGTGCTCCTGCTGGGGGTAGTGGTGCTGTCGCCTGCTATGCCTCGCGCGTACTTCGTTCCGCTCCTTCAGCAGGTTCTTGGTCTTCCGCCTCCTACTGGTCCTCCTCCTCCCTTAGAGTGTCCACCGCCTGTCCCGTCAAAGTCACAGTTACAGCCGGCCTCCCCTTTGCCAGCTCCTTCTCCCTACACTGGTCCTACTGGAGGTCTTGCTAAGCGTCGTGAGCCTGCGTCTCGCCCTGCGTCGCCTGTCCGCCGTGCTCGCACTTGTGGTCGTGCTTCGCATCCGCGTCCTCCCCCTGTCCCTGGCACGCACCGGATGTCTCTGCGCCTGTCCACTGCTCCTCTGCGTGCACCTTTGCCATCTCCTCCTTAGTCCTCTCTTCCTGTTCTTGCCGACCCGGAGTCGGACTCTCTTCGTGCTGCCAGTCCTTCTATCACGCGTCTCCTTGCTACTGTCGTCACTGGCCCTTACTTTGAGTCCACTGCTGCGTCTGCCCTCGTTGCTGAGCTCGTCGACTTTGCTGCTCGCTGTCGCCTAGACTACACTGCTAGTCTTGTGGCTGAGTCTGAGTCTATCTGTCCTCCGTCCGTCGGGGGTGAGTGTGCCCTTGGCACAGACGTCCTTGAGGACAGGCAGGAGGAGTTCCAGTGTCTGGCTGCTGCTTCACCTCATCTCGTGTCCGTACTACTTACCCCTGAGGGAGACCCAGATGCACTTGACATCGCGACTCCGCGCTCTTACGCGGAGGCGTTAGAGGGTCCCTACTCCTCTCAATGGGAGGCAGCTATGGACATAGAGATGGCTTCCTGGAAGTCCACAGGCACCTACGTTGACGAGGTTCCCTCGCCTGGGGCGAACATCGTCAGTGGCATGTGGATTTTTAGGGTGAAGCGGCCGCCGGGTTCTCCGCCTGTCTTCAAGGCACGTTACGTGGCTCGTGGCTTCGGTCAGCGGCAGGGAGTTGACTACTTTCAGACCTTCTCTCCCACCCCGAAGATGACCACTCTTCGGGTACTGCTGCACGTTGCTGCTCGCCGCGACTATGAGCTGCACTCTCTTGAGTTCAGCACAGCTTTCTTGCAGGGCAGCCTGCACGAGGAGATCTGGCTGCGCCGCCCACCTGGCTTCACTGGGTCTTTCCCTCCTGGTACCCAGTGGAGTCTCCGGCGGCTAGTCTACGGTCTCCGCCAGGCGCCGCGTGAGTGGCACGACACACTGAGGACTACGCTTGCGGCTCTTGGGTTTGCTCCCGCTACTTCCGACCCGTCGCTGTTTCTGCGCACCGACACTTCTTTGCCGCCGTTCTACATCCTCGTGTACGTTGACGACTTGGTCTTTGCCACAGCTGACACTGCTGGACTCGCCCAAGTGAAGTCTGAGCTGGAGAAGAGACACACGTGCACAGACCTGGGTGAACTGTGCAGCTACCTTGGCTTGCAGATCACCCGGGACAGAGCACGCCGCACCATTACCCTGACTCAGTCACACATGGTGCAGCAGGTCCTTCAGCGCTTCGGCTTCACGTACTCCTCGCCTCACGCCACTCCTTTGTCTACTCGCCACTCGCTCTCAGCTCTGCCTTCGGATGAGTCCGTAGAGTCGAGTGGCCCGTACCTAGAGCTTGTTGGCTGCCTCATGTACCTGATGACCTGCACACGACCTGACCTTGCATACCCTCTTAGCATTCTCGCACGCTATGTTGCTCCTGGGAGACACCGACCAGAGCACATGGCTGCAGCGAAGAGGGTGTTGCGCTACTTGTGCAGTACGTCGGGCATGGGGCTAGTGCTTGGAGGGCGGAGTCCAGTTGTTCTCACTGGGCACGCAGACGCTTCTTGGGCTGACGACCATGCTACGGAGCGGTCGTCACAGGGCTACACCTTCAGCCTTGGTTCCAGCTCTGTTTCGTGGCGGGCTACTTGCTTGTCTTCTGTTCTCGGCTCCAGTTGTGAGGCTGAGATCTACGCAGGGGCCATGGTTGCACAGGAGCTTCGCTGGCTCACCTACCTGCTGACTGACCTCGGAGAGCCGCCTTGTTCTCCTCCAGTTCTGTACGTAGACAACAAGGCCATGCTGGCCTTGTGTCGAGAGCAGAGATTGGAGCACAGAACAAAGCACATTGCTCTCCGCTACTTCCTTGCTCGTGAGCTACAGCAGCGTGGTCAGTTGGGGCTCGCATACGTGGCCTCTGAGGCCAACACTGCTGATGTCTTCACCAAGGCACTTGCGCCTTGTGATCATCAGCGCTTCTGTACTCAGCTGGGTCTAATGCCTGTCTTGCCTCACTTGCTCACCTCTCGACCTTGCTTGTACTGTTACATATATACATACCTGCTCTTGCTTGTCTAGCCTTATATATATATGTACTCCTGCATGTGAACTGGCCCTGTGGCCATGAACTTGTGCTCGGAATGTGTGGTGACTTTGTGATCCACCCTGAGCTTGCTTTGCTTGACTGGTCTTGTGACCCCTTTTTCTCCCCCACTTTGCCTATGGGGGTGTGTCAGAACATTATAGCTTATGCATTTATATAGGCTGTAGTGGGGTAGCCCATAAGGGGTACAACCCAATTAGGGTTAGTACTTGTACCCAACTCTTTCATAGTTGATTCATTCTCGTTTTAGTTTCCTCAAAAGACATATGCCGCACCTGAGCGGGACGACGGTAGACCCCCGTTTCTTCGGGAGTCGCCACGCCATCTTTCCTTGCCGTCGTTTTTTCTGACGCAAATCACCATGCGTGTGGCTTGCTCGACCAGCTGTCGTCTCCTCGTGTTGCTACTTCACGCACAGTGACAACGCACGTCACTTGCCGAAGACGTCCAACGGAATCATGCGCATCGTGATGAAGACGCCCCAACACCACTTGCTGCATGTAGTCGCTCCGAAAATCTCGTGCGCAATTGACGACCACGTGCCGACGCCAACTCGCACCACTAGCGATTCCGACAATTTCGAACGTGTAGTGACGACGATCCTGTCGACGTCTGCTGCTACACAAAAATCTGAGAAACTTAGAACGAGAAATGGATTGACTAAGGAATGAAAGTGATACAAATATGAAACCCTAGAATTGTGTACCCCTTAGTATCTAACCCGCTACAGCCTACACAGGCTAGATCATATATGATTGACACACCCCCATAGGCAAAGTGGGGGAGAACAAGGGGTCACAAGACCAGTCGAGCAAAGCAAGGCAAAGCAAGCTCAGGGTGGATCACAACGTCACCACACATTCCGAGCACAAGTTCAAGGCCACAAGGCCAGTTCACATGCATGAGTACACACATATAGATAACGCAAAACAAGCAAGAGCAGGTATATATATATGTAACAGTACAAGCAAGGTCAAGAAGTGAGCAAGTGAGGCAAGGTAGGTACAAGACCTAACAGAGTACAGAAGCGCTGATGGTCACAAGGCGCAAGTGCCTTGGTGAACACATCAGCAGTGTTGGCCTCAGAGGCCACGTAAGCAAGACGCACCTGACCGCGCTGCTGCAGCTCACGAGCAAGGAAGTAGCGAAGAGCGATGTGCTTCGTTCTGTGCTCTAGTCTGTGCTCCCGACACAAGGCCAGCATAGCCTTGTTGTCTACGTACAGAACTGGAGGAGGAGGCGGCTCTCCTAGGCCACTCAGCATATAGGTGAGCCAGCGTAGCTCCTGTGCAGCCATGGCCCCTGCATAGATCTCAGCCTCACAACTAGAGCCGAGAATAGAATACGAGCGGGTAGACCGCCACGAAACAAAGCCGGAACCAAGGCTGAAGGTGTAACCCTGTGACGACCGCTGCGTAGCCTGGTCATCAGCCCAAGAAGCGTCTGCGTGACCAGTGAGGACCACTGGACTCCGCCCTCCAAGCACAAGCCCTGGGCCCGACGTACTGCACAAGTAGCGCAACACCCTCTTCGCTGCAGCCATGTGCTCTGGACTGTGTCTCCCAGGAGCAACATAGCGTGCCAAGATGCTAAGAGGGTATGCAAGGTCAGGTCGAGTGCAGGTCATCAGGTACATGAGGCAACCAACAAGCTCTGGATACGGGCCAATCGACTCTACGGACTCCTCCAAAGGCAGAGCTGAGGGCAAGTGGCGAGTAGACAGAGAAGTGGCATGAGGCGAGGAGTACGTGAAGCCGAAGCGCTGAAGGACCTGCTGCACCATGTGTGACTGAGTTAGGGTAATGGTGCGCTCTCCTCTCTCCCGGGTGATCTGCAAGCCAAGGTAGCTGCGCAGTTCACCCAGGTCTTTGCACGTGTGTCTCTTCTTCAGCTCGGACTTCACGTGGGCGAGTCCAGCAGTGTAAGCTGTGGCAATGACCAAGTCGTCGACGTACACGAGGATATAGAACGGCGGCAGAGAAGTGTCGGTGCGCAGAAACAGCGACTGGTCGGCAGTAGAAGGAGCAAACCCAAGAGCCGCAAGTGTAGTCCTCAGTGTGTCGTGCAACTCACGAGGTGCCTGGCAGAGACCGTAGACTGGCCGCCGGAGGCTCCACTGGGTACCAGGAGGAAAAGACCCAGAGACGCCAGGTGGGGGGCGCAGCCAGATTTCCTCGTGCAGGCTGCCCTGCAAGAAAGCATTGTTGAAGTCAAGAGAGTGAAGCTCGTAGTCACGGTGAGCAGCTATGTGCAGCAATACTCGAAGAGTGGTCATCTTTGGGGTGGGAGAGAAGGTCTGAAAGTAGTCAACTCCCTGCCACTGACTGAAGCCACGAGCCACGTAGCGCGCCTTGAAGACAGGCGGAGAACCCGACGACCGCTTCACCCTGAAAATCCACATGCCACTGACGATGTTCGCCCTAGGAGGGGGAACCTCGTCGACGTAGGTGCCTGTGGACTTCCAGGAAGCCATCTTTGCATCCATGGCTGCCTGCCACTGAGAGGAGTAGGGACCCTATATCGCCTCCGCGTAAGAGCGCGGAATCGGGATGTCTGGTGCATCTGGGTCTCCCTCAGGGGCAATCAGCGTGTTCACGAGATGAGGCAAAGCAGCAGCAAAGCACTGGAACTCCTCCTGCCTGTCCTCAAGGACGTCCGTGCCAAGGCCACAACGGACGGAGGATAGACAGACTCAGACTCAGCGACAAGACTAGCAGCGTAGTCTAGGCGACAGTGAGCAGCGAAGTCGACAAGCTCATAAACTAAGGCAGACGCAGCAGCGGACTCAAAGGAAGGGTCAGTGACGACAGTAGCAAGGAGACGCGTGACAGTAGGACTGGCAGCACGAAGGGAGTCCGACTCCGGGTCGTCAAGAACAGGAAGAGAGGACTAAGGAGGAGAAGGCAAAGGGGCACGTAGCGGAGCAGTGGAGGGATGCAGAGACATCCGGTGCGTGCCGGGGACAGGGGGAGGACGTTGACGCGAACCACGACTACTAGTGCGAGCAGCACGGACAGGCGACGCAGGATGAGACGCAGGCTCACGACGCCCAGCAAGACCTCCAGTAGGACCAGTGTAGGGAGAAGGAGCAGGCAGAGGAGAGGTAGGCTGTAACTGTGACTCGGACTGGACAGGCGGTGGACACTCTAAGGGAGGAGTCGGACTAGCAGAGGGCGGAAGACCAAGAACCTGCTCAAGGAGCGGAACGAAGTACAGTCGCGGCCGCTCAGCACCACCAGCACCACAAGGGACAGCACAAGCACCCCGAACGTCAGCACCAGCGCCAGCAGCACCCCCAACTCCAGCAGCGCCAACTCCAGTACCCTCAGAGGCACCAGCACCAGATGCACCCTCAGCACCAACACCCCCAGCAGCTCCAGCTCCAGACGGACCACCAGAAGACGCAGCGGGTCCAGCTCCAGCACCCTAAGTAGCACCGACGCCCGCAGCACCACCAGCTCCAGTACGAGAAGCACCCGCAGGCCCTGCAGCTCCAGTACTCCAAATACAAGCACCTTCGGGACCAGCGGCACCAGCACCCTTAGCAGCAGCAGCTGAACATCCAGCACCCGCAGCACCTCCAACTCCAGCAGCTCGCCTCCAGCGCCGGGCAAACCACTCACGCAGCTCCTGTGGAGAGAGTAGCTCCTGCCGGGACGAAGCAACTGAAGAACCTCTAGGCCCAGCACCGCCAGACGCCACACGAGCAGGTCCAGTACCCTCAGACACCGCACCCCCTGACGCAGCACCCCTAGGCTCAACATACCCAGACGCAGCACCCCTAGGCGTAGCACCCCCAGGCTCAGCACCCCAAGGCGCAGCACCCCCAGAGTCTGCACCACCAGGCTCAGCACCCTGAGAGTCAGCACCCCCAGACCCAGCACCCGCAGGCTCAGCACCCCTAGCAGCACCAGAGTAAAAAGCTACCTCGACAGAGTCCGCAAGCGTGAAGGTTTGGCGGATGACTCGTGCACGACAGAAGGCTCGCAGAAGGTCAGAGGAGAACTCTCCGCCTCTGTTAGAGTGCAAACGCAGAATAGGAAAGTCAGAGCCGAAACTCTCTCTGAGCTGGAGACGAGCTGCGCAGATCCAGGCGATCAATGCCTCAGTGACCTCACCCTTGCTGCGCAAGGGGAAGACTGCGGTGTAACGCGAGTAGTCGTCAACCACCAGCAGGAAGTAACGCTCGTGACCCTGTCCACGGACGCGGGCTGGGCCCCACACGTCCATGTGAAGCGTCTGCAGCGGAGCCTTTGTCGGGAGAAATTCGAATAGCGAGGAGCAGCGTGCTGCCGCCCCTCGACGCAGGGAACGCAGGTGGGGGCAGGCCCCGGAGGAAGGGGAGGGAGGGACCAGGGGAGACCAGAGAAAAGGACACTGGAGACCATGCCTCGAAGACGAGGCAGGGAAGGGTGACCAAGGCGGTGGTGCCAGAGGAGAGTCTCGTGAGACAGGAGACGACACAAGCAGGGGGCAGCCTCAGGACCATACCTGGACGCCGCAGCAAACACCTGATCCAATGCGGCTACCTGAGCAGACTCAGCGACCGGAGGAGACTCAGTAGTCAGTGTGTACATGCTCGACCCCGGTTGACGGGTAAACGTGGCCAAGTGACGGCCCGTCCCAGCACAAGTACAGTGGGTCACTCGCTGACTCGCAGGAGTGAACTGGTCAACCCCTCCATCGTGGAGGTCAGCACCACTCACCAAGTTTGTAGAGAACGAGGGGAGGTAAAGACCCGACAGGGTGCGAGAAGGGGCCGCCGGACACGGTAGAACACTGGAGAAGTGGGCAAGGACAGGACCCCCAGAGGGGTCTGCCAGGGAGACTGCCACTGGCCGACTAAGCGGCGTAAGCGTGTTGCGGTCTCGAAAAAAGGAGCGGGAAGCACCCGAGTCAAGGGTGAAGGTTTGGGTGGCCGGAGCCGACGCGGTACCTGGGAGCGCAGACTCACCAGCACCTGGGGCAGCAGGCT